GTGAAATGCACTAATGATACACACATCTGAGGCTTTCTTAGGCAGGATACCTGATAGCCAGTAGCCTTTCCCAAGAAGCAAAGGATTATTTGATTAGGAACTAAGATGAGGAACTAAGAAATATGTTGTAAATTAACTGAAAAAGTGTTCCAATAAATGCTATGTGAACTTAAAAATTATATAAAAACAGTAATGTCCCAAAGGCACATTAGCACAGTGCCCAGTAGACATTCAGTTTGTGGAGAGGAACATTACAGGTGCTTGGGCCTTACCAGCCCAAATACCACAGTGACCTGTGGTGGTTAGAGTGTGCTCTAGTAAGTGCCTACAGAATCATCATTTGCAATTTCTGCTGAAATTCAAGCCACCAGTCTGCACATCTATAAGATACCTACCTAATTTGTTTTGGTTTGGCTTGGTTCGGGGAGGGGGAGAGGTTGGTGGTCCTGGGAATTGAACTCAAGGCCTCATGCCTTCTAGACAAGTGCTCTGCCACGGGCCACACTCACTTCCAGCCCTCCATCTAATGTCGAGGGGTGAATTTGATCAAAAGCACACTCTTATAATGATACAGAGCGTTCACATCATTCCAGAAAGTTCTGTCATGTTCCACCAGTCCAAACCTGCCTACCCTCCCACCCCCACCATTCTTCTGAAATTTTTTTCTCCATAGATGAGTTTAGTTTTTCTGGAATTTCAAATAAATGGAATTGTGCAATACCCACTCTTTTCTGTGAAGGCTTCATTCACTTAGCAGAATATTTTGGCAATTCATCCGTATGGTTGGATGTATCAGTAATTCCTTATTTTTTAATTGCTGAATTGTATTTCTCTGTATGAATATGCTCCAGTTTGTTTATCCATTCTCCTTTTGATGGACATCTGTGCTGTTCCCAGGTTCTATTATARACAAAAAGGATGAGTGACTTGAAGTCCCTTAGGACAGATAAGCAAAGCATTATGGGAAGCATGAAAGGAAAGAAATATTAGACAGGGACTGGTAATGTTCTTGGAGGATGTGGTGTTTGAGCAGGCTGGCAGAGAGTAGGGTCCTAGCAGAAACAGTAACAATGTAACCAGAAGTGTGGGTGCATTGGGCCTGGTAACCCACAGTGGAATTCACTTGGGTTAGCCTGTATTGGTGCCCGGTAGAAGGGAAGGCGAGGAAAGCAGATTGGGACCCAACTGATGAGGATCCTGGCTGCTGTGCCAAGCAGTGTGAATTTAGGTTTGTAGCAGAGAGCTGTAGAAGCTTTAGAATTGGGAATATCTTAATCCAATCTCTGCTTTGGAAGAACTTCAGCAATATTTGAAAAAGTGAATTAGAAGGGAAAGGGAGACTGGCTACTTGGGACCCTATTGCAAGTGTCGGGGGGGTGGGGAGATAGTGTGGGCCCCCAGGGACAGTGGGTGAGGAAAGCTGGATCTGTGGCAGGTAGGCATGGAAGGAATAGGAAGGAGTTCAGGGTGTCTGGAGGTGTTCACCGTGTTGGTGGAATATTGGTTGAGTGAGAGGGTGGACCACTGGAGAGCAAGGGCTCAGGCTTTGAGGAATGAAGAAGGCTGCATCCACCTCCAGGGCTGAGAGCCTGGGCAGCTGGAGACAGAGTTTTATCGAACAAGACATTTTTGTAAATGGCAGGACATCTTTTGCCTTGTTTTAATAGTCTGATGGTGTATTATTAGTCACGTGGGGGTACACACACCAGCACTCTCTCCACCTCCTTTTCCTCCCTTCCCCTCACCATTCTTTCTTCCCCTTCCTCTCTCTCTCCTTCCTCTCTCCCTTCGTCCTCCCTCTAGCCTTTCCTCCCTCCCTTCCTTCCGTATATATTGATGTAGATACACAGGTTCCCATTCTTTTCCCAGTAGTTCAGAATTTTTTATTGCCCTTTAATTGTTTTGGTGCTCACACTGTCCTAGATTTGGCCAGTGGGGGCCCTTTCAGTCTAGTTCCATGGACTCCGGGGACATGCCCCATCATTTCTTGATGTGWCTTTTTGGTATTATGAGATATTTCAAATTCATTTTACAGCATCCCAACCCTGAAATGAACCACTTCTTTAAGGACCCTGGTCCCATTTTAGTGGGATGGTAGTAGAAACTAAGATTGAACGCTTGGTACACCGCTTGCTACTGGGTTCTCACTCCTCTTGGGGGACAGAGCTGTAAGCTATGTGTATGGATATATACCTGTAGATACATGTGTGAACAGTCATGTATGTGTACATGTACAAATATGAACATATAAACACATACTTACAGAAATCGCAAGCCCAAACCTGTGTCTCCAGTTCCATCCATCCCACAGGGTTCTCCTTGCCCTCCCACATTCCAGCTACATCAGCACATTTACTGATTTGTTCAGTACCATATGATGCTCTTTTGCACTTTTTTTATTGGAAATCACTCCATCCTCATTCTCACTTCCTTAAGGTCTTCATTCTTTTTTGTAACTGTTTGCATGTAATTGATTGTACATACCATAATATATACACCCAGTCTCCTATGCTTAGACATTTAGTCACTTTGCAATATTTTGCAGTTACAAGTTATGCTGTAAAAAATAACATGTACATATGTACTTGCATTTTGTGTTTCTGCATTATTGGAGGTGGATCTTTTTAATTCYTAGAAGCAGGACTACTAAACATATGCAGATGTGGTTTTATTAAGTATTGCCACATTTCCCCAGTCTCTCTCACAGTATATCAGCAAGACTGGATATTTTTGCTAATCTAGTGGGTGAGAAACCATATTTCAGTCACTKTATTATGCATCATGAATGGAAGTGAACATCTTTTCACATATTTAAGAAGTGTCTGTGCTTGTGTGCATGTATGTACATATAAGAGTGGAGTGAGTTGTTTGTTCATAGCTTTCTCATTTTTCTATGGAGTATTCAGTCTTCAGTTTCGAGTTACATATATGTTAGAGACATCAACCCTTTGTCTGTGATATATGTTGCCATTATTTTCTCCTGCTTTGTCATTTGTCTTTTTTACTTTGCTCCTTACTGCCATGAAAAAGATTTTTACATTTATGAAGTCAAATTTATGAATTATGAGTCACAGTATTAAAAACTTTTTTTCTAGGGCTGAGAGATTAGCTCAGTGGTAGAGCACTTGCCTAGCATGTATGAGGCCCTGGGCTTGATTTAAAAAAAAAAAAAAATGAAAGGAAAAAAAAGCAAGAAAAAAAAAAACCCTCTTCTAAACTTGACTGGAGGAATTAACTCAAGTTTATTCTAGAACTTGTATAGTTAAGTTTTTCATGTCAGCTTTCATGTCTAGATAGCTGACCCATTGTGCACTTACTCTTCTGCATGGTGTGAAGCATTGGCCTAATTGTATCTTTCCCACTTATYCTCCCATCATGGTAAAGAAGTTCATCATTGCCCCAGTAATTCAAGATACCACCTTTATCATGCATAGATTTCTGCATGCATTTGGGGCTATTTCTAGACTTTGTATTTCATTAAATATTTTTAATGCCAATGTTTCTGAGTTTTCATTAAATATATATGTCTCAGCAGGCCAGGCACGATGGCGCACATCTGTAATCCCAGCAACTTGGCAGGCTGAGGCAGGACTACAAGTTCAAGACTAGCATCAGCAACTTACTGAGGCCCCAAGCAACTTAAAAAGATCCTGTCTCACAATAAAAAATAAAGGGCTAGGGATGTGGTTCAGTGGTTATGTGCTCCTGGGTTGAATCCCCAGTACCAAAAATAAATAAATATATGTCCCAGCAGCCACTAGGTTCCAGAATTTACAATCCAGAGGAATTTTTATGCCTCTTCCCCTTTGAAGAAGAAGAGTGAGTCCATGTTGTTTTCTTACTTACCCTTCTGAGCTTTCTACATTTTCTRAAATCAGCTAAACTTTGATCTGTAGAACACCTTTTTGAAGGCATTATCAGGTTTTCAGCAGTAAACTTTAGCATGAATTTTTAACAGTCCCTCCATTCCCCACAGATATTGCCATTTTCTTCATAGCCCCTCAAGAAAATGGCTACAAAGCAGGGACACATGAAGCCTGGCCAGCCTAGAGAGGGCCGTACGCCTCAGCCTCTCTTCTGCTTCCTGTAGCTTAGAAGAAGAACCAGGGAAGTAATTTTCTCCTCTTCTTCACAGAAGTGAACTGTCAAGTTCAGAGAAGATGCCAGTATGGGAGTAACCTGGAACAACTGGAACAACTGGATGGTGGCGTTGTCGTGGGGAATGCTTTTAAGGACTCACTTCCTAGGGAAGCTGATAGGAGTGTGTTCATCTTCTCCCTTTCTCTCATCCTGTGCCCCTCTCTCTAGTCAAATGGAGTAATTTGCACTTAAACAAACAAAACAGATCGATTTTCTTAATAAAAAAAAAAAATCTATTTACAGGACCCATTTAGAAGAGACAGGACTCCCTGCCCGTTTGGACTATTTTATCAAGTTATATTTCAGGAAACATATTTTCTTAAAGAAAATCAGAATATATAATCTGATTTAACTTACTATGTCAAATCCTATAAAGCTTAAAAAATGATGCCAGGTTTAATTATAAGTTTAACAAGCCAACCTTTTGGGAGAGAATAGAATTGCATGAAGGTGAGGTGTTTTGTGACTGTTCCGGTTTCCAGCGGGGTGAGAGCAGGTGGACAGGAAAATTCTTCAGTCCTGCTCTGTGCCTTCCCACTTGTCCTGAAGGTAAACCTGCTGCCTTCTGGTTTCAGGAAATCAAAACTGTTCTGTTAGGCAGCTCTCCTCTCCTGTTCTACTCTTCTGCTACAGTCGCTTTGCCATTAAGAACAGCTTAGATCTGTGTGTACATGTGTACAGCGCAGCAGTGCAGAGCTTCTTCTGACTGACCTTTACCTGAGTTCCTGGGATTTTCCCACGCAGGCAGCAGTTGCCGATTGCTGGTTTGTTGTTGGAGGATTCAGTGCTGAGGCATTTTCACGGCTGGTCTTCCCGCTCCTCTTAACRCCTTTCGTGTTGTCCCACTTTTTGCATTTCAGCTTTTCAGCTACCAGCAGAGTCGGAAAGAGAAATCTGAGTCCTAGTCCAGGAGAAGACAGAGTATCGGGGGAGATTTCGGACTCTGAGCTTGAGCAGACAGATTCCTGTGCAGAGTCCCTCTCAGAGGGAAGAAAAAAGGCCAAGAAATTAAAAAGAATGAAGAAGGAGCTTTCTCCAGCAGGTGTGTGTGGGATCTTGCTGAAACCCCAGGGTTGTGTGCTCCTTAACTGCTCTAGAAACCAGTGTTTGGGGGGAAAGGATAGTAAAACTTCACTTGATGGCAAAGCCACGTCGTCTTCCACTGGATCGGGAATTTTTAGGGGCAATGTATTCTAATATGAGGACCCCTAAGAAGYTCTGGTGAGGTCTCAGTAAAGTCCTTTTTGATAACCTCACTTCCTGTGGTTTAGAGATTTTGCTGATGTGTTTAGCGTAGCCTCAGTGTTTAAAATGTGACTTGAATTTGCATAAAGCCTACTCCCACGTGTGTTCTTCAGCAGCAGAGTTTACACTCTCCCCAGCAGCGCCGCAGGCAACCTGGATTTCTCTCATAAGCAGAATTATATAAGAAGCCAGGAAATAGGAAATCGGCACGTGTCGAGAGCCCACTCCGTGCCAGACACTGTAGCAGGCGCCTTCTCTCCTCACTTGATTTTCACCACCCTGAGGTGAGGAATCATCATCCCGGGGTTAGTGATACAGATGTCTGCCTGGCTCCAAGTGGTAAGAARCTCTCAGAAACTGCAGCTGCAAGAAGCAGAGCCCAGGAAAACCAGCCTGCCAGAGCCTCAGCCCAGATCCTCTCCACCCCAGACCCGCCAGGGCCACACCCTAACACTCTGGGGCTCACAGACCCTACACAGGCTAAAGGAAGGGCCTGGAGCAGCTTCTTGTCAGCCATTCCCTGCTGCTGAGGGACATGGTCAGGCAGCAGTGACAGGAGCCRTAGACACTGCTTCCTCATGGCCTGCCTGATACTCTTCCTTTGAAATCTGTGAGGTACTCATTGTCCATGTTACAATTAAGAAAACAGAGACCCAAAGGGTGTGTGACTTGTCCAAGGTCATGGAGCCCTTGACCTGTCCTGCGGGGACCATGTTGTGTACTCAGGGTAAGAGAGATGTGTCCTAGACACAATTATCATTCTCCTTTGTCTCATGATGACAGTTGCCCCGGTTAGCAGCTCTAACAGTCAAATCAAAGGAAGGCAGAGTCAGGCGCTGGAACTTGACACATACCCACGCTAAGAATTCCCTTTGTTTTAATTAATTCCTTTTTTGCACATGGCCTGATCTGACTGCAGTGAGCTTTCTGAACCTCATTGATATTAATGAAGTCACAGAAGCAGCAGAAGTATTGCATGTTTTTTATACATTAGGCTGAAGCTTAGTTTTAACAGAAAAACTCTTGGTTGAGGCCTCGGCTATATATTTTAGCAGTTCCCTTGAACATGGGCCTCACCTCCTTTCCCTCAAATGAGTTTGGAGAAGCTTTTAATCTATAGCCTCTGTGGTCTTCAGATTTGGTACCTCGTTACCATTGCCATGTTATATCAAAAAAGTCATGCATTAAATGGTAGCCTGGCCTTTAGAGACCACCCTGAGCAAGTCTTGCCCTTGTTCCTGTCCTTGATAGCTCCATTCCTCATGCATTGTTCAGTTTCTCTTTTGTTTTTTCTTTTATTTATTTTTTAATTTTTTTTAGTTGTAGATGGACAAATACCTTTATTTTGTTTATTAATTATTTTATGTGGTGCTAAGGATCAAACCCAGAACCCCAAACGTGCTAGGCAAGGTTCTACCGCTGAGCCACACCCCAGCCCCAAGCCTTTTGTTTTTCTATACCACCATAATTTTTAAATATTAAAATACTCAATAATAGAATGAATTAATAGATTAGTCTCTTTTGTAGTTTTTATCATTTTAAGTAAAAACTTTCTATAAGTTATTTAGGGTTTTGAACTTATAATACTGTAATAAAATAGGGTTTTTCCCCCTTCCCATTGACAGTAAAGCTGTCACTCACAAAAGATTTGAGCTTAAAAAAAAAAATTATAGATTTTGTACAACTTCGTCAGTACTGCTGAAAGGGAAAGAGCAAGGGAGATTGAGCAAGAGAGCTTGGGATGACTGGGTTTTCTTCTGGAGCACCATCCACCCAGAGTGGCCTTTGGACGGTGCAAGTGGACGTTGAGTGGCCCCTCCCTGATTTGTTTTAAGCATCTCTGCAGGACGCAGAGGACAGACCTGTGACTCAACCAGGCTTGCTCGCTCAGGTCCTTGACTGGAAGGCTTGTGAGTGGGCACACCCTTGTCCCCGGTGAGGTCTTTTTTATTTTTATGTGGTGCTGAGGGTTGAACACAGTGCCTCACACTCGCTAGGCAGTTACTRTACCACTAAGCTACAACCCCAGTCTCCAGTGAGGTCCGTGTTACACCTGTAGAGGTATTTGGAATGTACCGGGGATGGGAGGCCATGCTCAGGAGCTGCAGAGTGTCTAATGAAAGTGGCCTGAGCCTTGGCTATGAGCTTCAATACTCAGGGAGCAAGCTGAGGGCCTCAGGTGGCTCACCAGGGTGTTAGGTGTGGAGGACACRAGAGGGAAAGTGGACAGGGCCCGCCTGTGGGGATTTCTGATTTTCCAAGGAGTAAGCAAAGGCAAGGACCATGGAATGTGGTGTGCTGTAGCAATCCTGAGGCAATTCAGCTCAGGAAATGTCACACAAAAGTGTCATATTCTTAGAAATTCTGATGTGTAAGCTGCACAGAGTTAGTGACTAGACCCCTTTGCAGATAACAAAATGACCTAAGTAGAGAAATGACCATTTATTGGGTTTATATTATGTGCTAGATAATGTGGTAGAAACATCCTTTATTATCTKGGGTAGTCCTTATAAACACACAACAAGGCCTAGAGGTCATTATTGCCCAGGTACAGAGAGGAAAGTGAGGCTCAGAGTATTACAACTTGCAGAGTCAAACCACCAAGCTCAAACTTGCAGGGCTGTCTGGCTCCAAAGCTCACACCCTGTGTGGCTCTGTGGKGGGTCAGATTTATCCAGATGTAGAGGAGACCAAGTCTCTAAATAGGTGAGTACTCCTTGCAGCTCTTCTGCATCACAGACCAGCCAGCCTGGACTTCCACATGATAAAGTTGCCCCGTAAAAGCCCAGATGACCAATCCCTTTTGGGGACTTCTATTATATATCTATTATATATTTATTATATGCTCAGCAAATACTTTTCTCTCAAATGTGGTTGTTTCAATTGTGTTCTCAAAAAGCAAATGTCAGTGCAGGTCTCCCCCTTGTGTCTATCGTGATGAGTGGTGATTGGTAGTGCCAGTCGCTGCCCCTCTGAGCAGTGTTAGATACGTTCTCTGTTGGTACATAAAGGGTGAGGACTGCATGCCATTTATGCTGGAATGAACTGTCTGGGAAATGTGATCGCTTTCCCAGGTCAAGTTAAWTGATGGGTTTCCATAATATGCTTGTTCTGCTGTGTTTGGTGTTGCCAGGGCCCAGAGAAACCTCAGCCTCAGTTCTCCCTTTCCTCTCCAGGAAGTCAAAGCTACCATGGTGGGCAAAACATGTAGGGCAGTCCACTAGCTGGAGGTTCCAGCAGCACCTAGTTAGAGTGTCTACAGAGGTGGCCCATAGGAACACCCACTGACATCCATGGTTATTCCCTGTCTTGCAAAGAGACACTGAGCCAGGTCTTTCCTGCACCCCATGCCCCCTGCACTTTGAAACACAGCACATCAGACCTTTACATGTTTGCCGAGAACCATGAGTTCGTTCTGTTGGAGTCTTGACTGATCCTATTGACTTTTCAAGCTTAAACCCTTAGGGTTACAGTATAAAAACTGGGTATCTACTTAGAGCAGCAATCTTCTCATGCTATTACAGGTCTCATTAAAGTCAAAAATGACATCTACAGTTGYAGCTGACAAGTCACCTGAGAGGCCAGGCTACAGACATCCAGCTACCTCCGAGGAACCTTTTAATATAGCTATGTTAAAATGTAGTTTCATCCAGGGGCGTGGTGCACACCTGTAATCCCAGGTACTGGGAAGCTAAGGCAGGAGGATCACAAGTTCAAGGASAGCCTGGGCAACTTAGCAAGACCGTATCTCAAAAATGAAACACTAAAAGGGCTGGGCGGGGGGAGTGACTCAGTGGTAAAGCACTTGCCTAGCATGTGTGAAGCCCTGGGTTCCATTCCTAGTACCACAGAAAAAGTTTTCAGCTTACACATGGCATAGGAGGTGGGTGCCGGGCTCGCGAGACAGCCTGCTGTGTGCAGGTCTGGGTCCTCTGATCCCCCTGGCAACTTAGGAAAGCTTCCCTTCACCGCTCGCCTTCTCAGCATGGAAAGCCCACCCGTTTCTCCCTCTTGAGCATCTCCTTGTTGAAAACATGCRTGGCTCCCCAGAGGATCTTCCATAACAAGTGGTTRGACTCACCTGTGGTTTTGCTGAGTGTCCCGTTCTACAGTATGTACCCCGTTTTTTCCCTGTTAGAAAATCTTGGTCAAATAATTTTAATATAACATTTCATATTAAGACACTTGATTTTTTTGTTGTTTTTTGAGATGGGATCTTGCTACATTGCTCAGGCTGGTCTCTACCTTCGCAGGCTCTAGTGCCTCCCAAGTASCCTCCCCCAAATCCCTGCTGGCTCCTCTTAAACATCATTCCTAACAGAGTCTGCTTTATTAAGATACTTTGTATCTAATAAGAGTCATGGCTTTTAAGGACTGGGGATTGTGGCTCAGTGGGAAACACTTGCCTACCAYGSRAGGGGCCCAGGAGTCATCTCCTGCWCCGCTGTCAAGTCATCCCTCACAGGGATGCAGTTGGATGAGTTTGMAGGATGTGTATATCATGTGACTGCTGCAGTGCTTGAGATCTAGAGCAGGTCTGTCATTCCAGGAATTCCCCAGTCCCCTGTATCCAGCCCTTACCTAGACCCCAAGACCTGGCACACTGGTTGGCGGGCTGCCAYGTGGTGCTGCCTCCCGAGGAGTCACACAGGAGGCAGCCTTTCTTCTCTTCCTTCAGCTTCTTTGATTCAGCAGGCGCATCTGAGACCCGTGCTGYAGTGTGCATTGTTACTCCATTCCCGAGTCTCACTCCATCTTAAGGATGCGTTGCTGTTTGCTACCCTTCCCCGGTGGAAAGACATGCAGTTCCTTGCCAGTTTTTTGGCAACCAAGAATTAAGTGCCTCTACTCATCTGCCCACAGGTTTTTGTATGAACTAAGCTTTCATTTCCTTTGGCTAAATCCCTAAATACCCAAAAGTGGAATTGCTGGATCACATGGTAACTGTATTTTAACTTTGTAAGAAGCTGACACACAGTTTTCCAAGTGGCTGCACCATTTTACCTTTCCACCAGCCGGGTACCGGGGTTCAGCCTCCAGTCCTCAGCACTGCCCTTTTTTGGTTGCTTTTTAGGCATTCTGATGCGCGAGTGATGGCCCCGTGTGCGGCTTTGGTTGGTACTTCCCTAACGACTGACTTCGGCATCTTCTTCCATGATTTGCCATCCACGTCTGGCGTCTTTGGTGAAATGTCTGTTCAGACCTTTGACCTGTCTTTTCCATTGGGTTGTCTGTTTTCTTCTAACTTTTAAGTGTTCTTTATAGATTCTGGATACCAGTTTTCTTGAATGTTTTCCAGATGTTTTCTTCCAGGCTTTTCATTCTTTAACAGTGTCTTTTAAAAAGTAGAATTTAAGTTTCATATAGTACAGTGTATCAGGGTTTTTCTTAGATTATCCTTTCTGGTGCCAGATCTTTATTGTCCTGGGTAGTCCGTATGGACACACAGTAAGTCATTATAACATGCAGAAGTCATTATTCCCCATTCACAGGGAGGGAACTGAGAGGCTCATGGGGTTAMAAAGTCAAACCATGAAGCACGCATGTGCAGGACTGTCTGGCTCCAAAGTTCATTAAATCTGTGCACGACTCTCAGTTGCAAAGATGTTTCCAGTGTTTTCTCACAGTAGTTTTCTAGTTTCAGGCTTTAYATTTAAATGCATGGCCTGTGTTAATCTTGTATATAATGCATGGTGTGGAGTAAGATCCACTAATAGTGGGAGGCAGATGCCCTTCAGTATCTGCTAAAAGAAAAACGATTTCTAAATGATTCTTTGCACTCTAAATAAAACAGGGCTATGAAAATGTGTTTTCTAAAAAACTGACTGTCGCGCCTCACGCGCTAGCTCTGAGATAGATCCCTTGTTAGTCTGTGGCTCTCCTTTTCTGGAAGGTTCTGGAAAGAACACACAGTGACCTTCAGCTCTCTGGTCTGAGTCTCCTTTAGGCAAAGAAAACTAGCCTGTTTTTGACTGCTGGCTGTCAGTTTCCTGGGACACAGCCATGTTAAATGTTGGACCACTTTCTCCACAAGGGGAAGGGACCTAATGTTCATTGAAAACCTACCTTTGGGGGCTGGGGATGTGGCTCAATCGGTGGCGCGCTCGCCTGGCATGCGTGCGGCCCGGGTTCGATCCTCAGCACCACATGCCAGCAGGGATGTTGTGTCCGCCGAGAACTAAGAGGAAAGATGGATATTGAAAAAGGGTTCTCTCTCTCTCTCTCCTCTCTCTCACTCTCTCTTTTAGAGAAAAAAAAAAAGAAAACCTACCTTTGGGCTGTGATTATGGCTCAGCGGCAACGCGCTTGCCTCACATGTGTGAGGCAATGGGTTTGATCCTCAGCACCACATATAAATAAATGAAATAAAGGTCCATTGACAACTAAAAAATATTTTTTAAAAAAGCCTACCTTTAGCTGGGCATGGTGGCACACACCTGTAATCCCAGCAGCTTAGGAGGCTGAGGCAGGAGGATCGCGAGCTCAAAGCCAGCCTTAGCAAAAATGAGGCGCTAAGCAACTCAGCAAGACCCTGTCTCTAAATGAAATACAAAATAAGGCTGGGGGTGTTGCTCGGTGGTCGAGTGTCCTTGGGTTTAATCCCCAGTACCAAAAAAAAAAAACCCTTCCTTTGCTGTGTAGCAGCCTTGAGTGACAGGCACGCGGGTCCCTGATGCAGGTGAGGCAGTGAGACTTGCTCAGAGCAGYCCAGCTGGAGTGTGGTTGGGCCCTGGCCTCACTCCAGAGCTTTTGCTCCTTCCGTCCTTTCTGACTCGGTCCTCACAGAGTGCCCCCACGGGAGCCATGGCTTGCAGCCAGACTCACACACGCCACAACTAACRGCAGGTGCACATTGCGAGGATTACACTGCAGTTGCTTTTAGCAGTTTGTCTTCTTTTTCCTTCTCAGCTGGTTTTCGTTTACTTGGGTTCCCCACTTTTGGCTCTGCAGCGCTTACCTCTGAATGGCTACTCAGCTACTGCAATGTTTCTTTGATAGGTGAATTTTTAAGATGTGCTTATTGATGTGTCCACTGGTACCTATGGTGTGTTTAATTGTTCTGACGAGAGGGCACTTTCTAAAAAATCATCTTTTTCCTTTGCTMACTGGCTTGTGAGCCTTCACATGGATCATCTCTCTGCTCATCTCCRCTTCTCAGGAGTAGTCCTGTTGGCTGCATCAGGGGTCCCAGGACACGCACTTTCACACAGCTGAGAGACCCAAGCCAGGGCACTGCTGGTTGTCCTTCCCGCTCTCCTCATCCGTTCTCTCTGGGTCCTACTGCAGTAGTGATGGGGAGGGGGTTCTCGTGGAGGGATTCTCTTCCTGTCATTGCATGCGTTTCGACCTCCTCRTTCTCAGGCCTCTCCATGGTGGACTGCAGCCCCCTCCTGTTTCTTGGGACACTCTGTGTTCAATAGTCTSTCTGCATTTAAGGCACCATCAAGACGACTCTCCCTTAGGGGAGCATTAACAGCTGGGAGAGAGGCTCTGCTGGTGTTGTCTGCCRCCCTGTTGAATGGTTCAGCCACACGTGGCAGCCCCTGTACAGCCGGCCGGGCTTCAGAGCCTGCATGGCCCTGGCCCAACCCACCTRTTCTGTGCCCTCCTCTGCCCCCACTGCTGTTGCAGAAAGTGGCATGATGGGAAAGAAGGGCTCTGACTCAGGGTGAGACTTGGTAACTGAAGAGATCTCTTCAACCCCACAGGAGGACCTTAGCCAACTCTGTTGACCTTGGAAAGGCTACAGTTGCTTCTGCTRTTTTCGAATCTCTGGACCCCACTGACAGGCTTCCCTCCCCCCTATCCTGCCCCTGAGGTTTCTCCCCCAAGTACCAGCTGCACCACCARACTGAGAAGCTCAGGCTCCTGGGGCAGCGGCAGGGACCTCCTCTCACACCTACTCTCAGCCACTTCTCAGCTGTGCGAGAGCTATCATGTCYCTGCCCCTGAGTCTGTTGTTGCCTCTGTAACAAGCGTTTATCAATCAGTAGCACCGTGGTGGGCTTTTGTGAAGATAAAGAATGCAGCGTGTGTGCACAAGGGAGAGGTGCTTTGCGCATCCGCCCAYTGTAAATCTTCTGTAAGACCAGTAAACAGGCGGCCATGCTGGGAGAGCAGAGGGTTCACTGCCCTCCTGTGRCTGATGTTTCTGTGGCTTTGCCTGTACTTGCTGGGCACTGGGCTCCACAGCCAGGACCCATCTATGCACTTTGAAGCCGTGTGCGCTGTACAGTGGCCCCACCCTGCCGCCTCGGTGCTCGCCCCCACTTATGCTCTTTTCTCTTTCCTACCAGGGACCACTGAAGACAGCCCTGCCAAGCTCTTTGAAGTTCCTGACACGTGGTAACCAAGACCCGAGGGGCACACTGCTGGTGCTGTCCTGAGGAAGAGCGGCGGCTCCTCGAAGCCATGCTGTACTTACCTTAATAAAACGTGCTGTGGGAGGGTCGAAGCCCCGTCTCCTGAAAGACCAGCTTTTATCTTTGTGGCCATGTTTCTCCTTTTCCTTTTTTAATCTAAACTAACTGTTGACAACATCACGGTTGTAGGCTGTCGTGGATGTGTGCATCGTTAACCAGCTAATCATCTAATACTCACGTGCCACCTTTCCTGGCACGAGTTCCACCGGGTGTCCAGGACTCACCTGAGGGAGGTGGCTGTGAGAGAGCTGAYGTGCGGGTCCTCTGGTCATGGCCTGGGTTCGGCACTCCTGCTTGGAGAGGTGCTCCTCAGTCCTCTGCTACCCAGGTGGCAGGGCATTGCAGGTCATGGTCAGCGTCCTGCTGCAGCGAGCGGTTGTGGGTCCCTGCTTCCCCATAGCTTCCCCATAGCTGCCTGAACCCAGGAAGCACTTGGGCCTCTCTTTCTGGCAGAAAGATGCCTGACAGCGTGGACCCATGAAGGAGCGTGGGGACTGCCCAACTGCTGTTTTTCTGAAGATCTGAGCTTCTGTTGGGGGGTGTCCAAGTAAAAGGTCATTTCTGTTCTTACATAGTGCCGCGTGCACCTTGCGGTGTCTTCACCTGTCTTTCCCGCTTCTATGTGTTTGGGGTGCGGTGGCGTGTGTGCGGACGTGTGTGAGTGAAATTCATGGCAAATCAACCWCATGTAGCAGCCTGTTATGTGAACAGATCGCAACAGCAGCAAAACACCCTGGATCTCTCTCAGTAGATCTGCTTTCAATAGATCATTGTTAGATATTTAACATTTTTGTATTGTGGAAATAAAAATTAAAAAATGTATTTCCAAAAGATAAAATTAAAGAAATTTTCATAGAACCCTGGTTCTTTCCGTTTTCCTTGTAGTARTGAACGCCATATTCTCTCTCTGTGCATAGATAGATGTGCTCCTTACCTTTGAAGAGATCTGGCCACTGACCCAGGTGTTTAAGGATCTTCTTTTTCTTTTTTTACCTCTAACCCCTGTACCTGCTTCTGTGGGTCAGACCGCCCATGCCTGACCTGAGCCCTGGTGGTCACTGGCCATGGCCTAGGAGGGTGGGAGGAATCCCAACACACATGGAAGTCCATGGCATCATGCAGCTTCAGGGGTATAAGACCTTTCCCTGGTGGAAAGCCTCAACCTTCCTTCCCAGCTCACTCCCTTCCCCTGGGGTTTGTAGCTACAGAGTTATAAACCAGACCTGGCCGGAACAAGCAGGTGTCCACCCCTTTGTCCACCCCTTCCACCGCTGCTGCYCACAGGTCAGTGGGGAAGTCGGTGAGTTGAGGAATCTGGGAGAGGCTTATGGAGCAACTGTGTCCTTCAAACTTATAGGTAGGAACAGGTAATGCCCCATGCTTCTCTTTAAAAAGAAAACGAAGGGCAACTGTCCAAAGACTGTGGGTGGCATTTGTATGGAGAGGAGCGTGCCCGTTTGGTGCCCTTGTGCTCGGTAGGTCTCACGTGGGAGGGGAYGGAAAGCCCTTGCCCTAAGGTAAGGAAAGTGAGTCATACCCTGAAGCCCACTGAGAGCAGGCACCATGCTCCCTGCTCAGGCTAACCCCTGCCACTCATCTAGAGAGGAGCTTGGCAGTTGGGGGAGTGCTTTCTAGAGAGGGCACGTGCTCAGAGCCCGCGGAGCTGTTTGCTTCCAAGTTCGGCCTGTGTTCTTGGACATGTCACTTACCCTCTCTGACCTTCAGCTTCCTGCTTCTGAAAGTCAGGACAGTAAACCCTATTCTGTCAGTTGGAGTGGACGTGGCATAGTCCCTGGAATGTGGCTTAGAATAAGTGCTGGGTGCACCCCTCACATGTGCCTTACCCACTTTCCCAGCTGCATCAGATGGCCCAGTGGACTAGGTCAGTCCTTCCCCTCTGTACCTACACACGGGTGTTCTCCATGACACAGTGGGTGTAACCATGGGGAGGTGCTTCTGCTTCTTGACTCAGGCCCGTGGCACATTGTTGATGGGGCTGTGCTTTGGGACTGGCCTGGAGTGGGCGCCTCTGTGTRTTCTTGGGAGTTGGAGGCTGAACGCTGGCTTCGCCCATCCTTATAGCTTTGCACTGGCTCAGTCCCCACCCCACGGATCATTATGGAGATGTTCAGACGTACAGAGGCTTGCTCAGTGAGCACTGTGTACCTGGACTGTGTGGTCACCAGCTTGTTCAATTTTCTTGTTGTATTCAGCCATCCCGCTAGCCATCAATTTGTCTTGTTTTTTGATGCATTTCTAAGTTGCAAATGTCAGCATCCCCCTCAATACTTCCTAGAGTTTAATATTTATTTATATTTGGGGGTTTGTGGGGGTCAAATTGGTAGTGGAATACTCGACTCAATTTTAAGTGTACCATTTGGTAAATGACCAACAAATGTAATCCCATCTATCCATCCAGGTGCAAAGTATTACTGAGAGGCCAGCATTGTTCCTTCTGTCTCTTCCCAGTCAATCCCTCCCACCCCTAGGAGCAACCAACCACAGATGTGCATTTTTTTCCCCCACAGATTAACTTTTTCTAGAACTTCATGGAAACAGAACCAGAGAGTCTATACTCACGATGGTAGAAACAGGGGCTGGGGGTGTAGTTTAGTGGGAGAGCCCAGCTTGTCTAGCATGCCCTGGGTTTGAGCCCCACACCAATAACCCGAGGGGCAGGCCTTTCTCAGCACGCTGTGAGACTCACCATGTGTGCAAGATTCTAGTTCCTCTTCATTTTTGCTTATCCRTATGCCACAGTTTTATGGGTTTGAAGGCACATGCCTGTAATCCCAGTGACTCTGGAGTCTGAGGCAGGAGGATCTCAAATTCAAGGTCTGCCTGGGCAATTTAGTGATATCCTATCTCAATAAATTCAAAAGGCTGAGGATGTAACTCAGTAGAGAATCTCTGGGTTCAGCTCCCAGTACTGTACTAAAAAAAAAAAAAAAAAAGCTGTTATTAATGCTGAACAGCAAGAGGGGCCTCCTCAATCCTGTGGGTGCAGTTCCCACGTGGACAGTTTGAAGCACCTCTCCTGACCTTCTGGAGGAAAATGCTCCGACACTTGGTTGCTGCCAAAGCCGGGCCACCCTCTCCTGGCCCACGAAACCAGTGAGTATTAAAAATAGTTCGATTTTTTTTGGAGAACTTTGTATTTAATCTCATGACTCAAGTTTCATTACTTCACCTGAAGTCCTTTCCTGCATGGTCCATGGAGTAAACAGTGCATCTGATGTTGTTGAGGAGGGGAACAGAATCCCTGAAGGCCAGTTCGTGTCTCTGCCGGTGGGCAGCCACCCTCTGCTGCAGGTTATCTGGGCCCTGTAACAGGGTTCAGTTTGTCTTTGGCCACTTGTCTATTTCTATCTCTGCTTCTTGCTTTTTCTAGTCATGCGATTGAACTTGACTTTSAGAAAGCTCTTCATGCCGACTGGACCTGCAGAAAAATGTACAGGTTCACCAGCTGAAAGGGTCATTTTAAACGGACGTGTTTTAGATAACTCTTGTCCAAAAAGAGAGGATGGCAAAAAAAAGAGCTCTTTGTTATTTTTATTGGGGGGGGGGCACTGATTCACAAGATGAGGAGATCCTCATGCTGATCTTTTTAGAAGTGAGAACATAGGGAAATACAGACCGGAGAGTGTGAGGCCAGGAGCCCTGCAAGTGTGGACTTGTGCAGAGGCTGCGAGGAGGGAGTCTGCTTCCGTGCCAGGCCCATGCCAGGCCCGTGCCACTTTTCCCTGGAAACGTCTTGCCATCGTTCCAATACCAGCCAGATCTGAGCTGGGGCCTGCCTGCTGTGTGCGCCTCAGGACTCTGCCTGGCCCCAGTCTCCCCATCTGTCACGGACCAGGCCAGYCCCGCCCCAGGAGAGGGCAGGAAGCCCCCACAGGGCACCAGCGCCTGGATCCCACCTGGGCCTCTTCAGTGGGAGCACCAAGTGATACCTCCTCCTTGAAAACCAGGCCCCTTCTCTCCAGAACTTTCCCTGTTAAAACAAACTCACCCTCTAAGACATCAACCTTGCTTCTGGGAGTCAACGTTCCTCTCTACTCCACTGTGGTTCTTCTGAAGYAGGAAACACGTTCGGGGTTTATTCTGTTCTAAGCACTTGACACTGTTTTCAAGCACAGGGACCATGATTCAAAGATACAACTGAAGCTTGCACGAGCTCAGTAACTTGCCCTGGAGGTCACGGTCAGTGGCAGAGCTGGAATTCAAACCTCAGGATGTGCAACAACGCTGCCAGGTGCCTAACGATGATTGGACACTGCCATCCGTGGGCAGACGTCACAGGGCAGAGGGACAGTGACATGGGGGAGGGAGAAGTGCTGAGCCTGTCCTGTGTACCTCAGGAGTCAGGGCTCTGGGTTGACACCAGACTCCCCTCTTCTCATTCCCTCCCCCTCAGCCCTGGGAACTGAGAGTCACACACATACCTGCCTCCCCTCCCCTCCATGGGCTCAGTCCTGTCCTCAGAGGCTTCCTGGAAGCATCTGGGGACAGAGACATTCTGAAGGCTCCTCATCTGTATTGCCAGATTGCCCTCTAATCMAGACACCTGCCAGAGGGGCTCCAGACCCCGAGATCACTCTCCAAATGCCCACCTCGAAAGCCAACTAATGATCTCAACCACAGAGAAGTCCCAGTGTTGGTTCACAGAACAGCAGGGTAACTGTAGTTCACCTCAGTTTATTATGTGTCACATCGGGAACTACGAGAGAAGAGTCCAAAGCTCCCAACAGGAAGGAATGATGAATGTTTATGGACATGGAAATGATAATTACCCTGATCTGATCATCGTATTCATTTATCAAATTATCGCACTGTTCCTCATAAACAGGAATTAAAATCCATTAAAAATTTTTGGAAACAATCACAATGAAAGCAGTGAAGGCCCCAACGGTGCAATGACAGACCCCAGCACCTCCACCCTAGGAAGAGGCACACTCAGGGTCTGCGCCCCCATCACAAAATACCGCCCTGGGCCTGCGGAATCCGTGCCACTTGAGCACTAGCTGCAATGCACATCTCTGGGCCCCTCTCTGGGGCTGCTGGGCCAGAAACTCCAGGGCTGGGGCCCAGCTGTCTGGGAGTGGCCTCCGGGGGATCCTGGTGCCGCCCCGTTTGGGAGCTGCTGGTCTGGGGAAAGCTACACGAACTGAGTGGGGACATGTACTGCGCTTGTTATGGTCAGATCTGTGAGGGCCGGGAGCCCATCCAAGGGAAATGTCACTTCCAGCTCTCCTCTCAKTAAGGGTCGCCTCCTCTGACATCAATAGGTGATTTGGAACAAGGGGAATGTCGCTCTTTCATGTGAAGGGTGCAGCTCTTGCAGATACTTGTTATCCATCCTGAGAGGTTTATTATGTGCCGCACACATCATTCTCCCTTTTGTTCCCTGAAGAGAGGAAACAAAAGCTTAGAACAGTCTGGAAACATCCTAGGTCCCTGAACTGTGTACCCAGCCTGGGCAGAGCCCGGGCACCTCACAGCCACGCTGCTGAGAGGACTCAAGGCACCTGCACCAGGTGGAAGCTCTGCAAACATGACTTTCCCCTGCATCTCCTGACCTTGCACCTGACAAACCAAAGCCAGTCTTGGCCACGGGAGGCTCTGGCCCGACTGACAGTCTCTAGCAGACTGCTGAAGTGMTCTTTTGTTTCTCCTTCCTCTGTTTTAATTCAGGAATTAAAACATTAAATGCCGTTCCGACTCCAGGCATCCCCTGAAGTGTCTCACCTGTGTGTCACTTGCCCATGACAAGCGACATGATGAACTCCCCAAACCCTGTCTCGAGTGACGGGTGGGGGCC